ACTAAGGACATGGATTACTGGAACCATGTCCTGTGGTCTGATGAGACCAAGATAAACTTGTTTGGTTCAGATGGTGTCAAGCGTGTGTGGCGTCAACCAGGTGAGGAGTACAAAGACAAGTGCGTCTTGCCTACAGTCAAGCCTGGTGGTGGGAGTGTCATGGTCTGGGGCTGCATGAGTGCTGCTGGCACTGGGGAGCTACAGTTCATTGAGGGAACCATGAATGCCAACATGTACTGTGACATACTGAAGCAGAGCATGATCCCCTCCCTTCGGAGACTGGGCCGCAGGGCAGTATTCCAACATGATAACGACCCCAAACACACCTCCAAGACAACCACTGCCTTGCTAAAGAAGCTGAGGGTAAAGGTGATGGATTGGCCAAGGCATCCTCAAACGGAAGGTGGAGGAATGCAAGGTCTCTAACATCCACCAGCTCCGTGATGTCGTCATGGAGGAGTGGAAGAGGACTCCAGTGGCAACCTGTGAAGCTCTGGTGAACTCCATGCCCAAGAGGGTTAAGGCAGTGCTGGAAAATAATGGTGGGCGCACAAAATATTGACACTTTGGGCCCAATTTGGACATTTTGACATGGGGTGTACTCACTTTTGTGGCCAGCGATTTAGACATTAATGGCTGTGTGTTGAGTTATTTTGATGGGGACAGCAAATTTACACTGTTATACAAGCTGTACACTCACTACTTTACATTGTAGCAAAGTGTCATTTCTTCAGTGTTGTCACATGAAAAGATATAATAAAATATTTACAAAAATGTGAGGGGTGTACTCACTTCTGTGAGATACTGTATATAAACTGCACAAAATAAAACTGTACAGTTATCTTAAAGAGCTATTTCTACCTGCTCTGACCTTTAAAAAATGAGTTTCATGGGTGTAACATAATGAAGGCAGGTTGAATTCAGTCACATTTAATATTTTTGACTCGAATAAAATCAGTTAATTTAGTTACAACATCTAGAACATTTTTAGGTTACATGACAAATCCATTTTACAGTGTATATGCTTTGATTTGTAATGACACCACCTTTTATGTTACAATACACCATCAGAATTATCCTTAAATGTTTCTATTTTCCCCTATTCCATTTTATATCCCTTTTTTCTAGTCCAAATTGGACAAAGGAACATCTAGGGCTGCAAATCTAGTTTAAAAGCTTTGTGATATACAACTAAAGTCAACTCCAATTCAAGAAAAGGACGGAAGTAACATCTTCTCTTTGGTAAATATGATGTAACTGTGCTGCTGCAGGGGATGTCTATGTCATGACTTTATAAGTATTTTTCAGGGTGAAGAGATACAGAGTTAAAATCCAAATTGATCCAGGTTCTAGTGGTGGTGGGTGGCTCAGTCCGGAAACATCTGCACCGTGAATTGGAAGACCAAGTCCTTCCAGAGCCACTTTTGTTAGCTGTTGTGCCCTGAGCAAGACACTTAACCTCCTTTCACTGCAAGGGCACCCTATGACTCCCCCTCATCTCTGTTTGTGATATAAGATCACAGATATACAGCGAAAAAAAAGAAGTGTGCATACTAGGTGCAGTTAACATTTTTAACGTTGAAAGCAACTTAAAGCAGTGTTCCCCTGCACATTCCCAACTAAATGGACCTGAAAGCTTTTTTGGACATTGCCGAATATTCCGCTACAGAGACCTAGCAATCTTCTGCCAGTTCTAAAACACTATAGGTCACTAGGGGCCTGTTTACACCTGGTCACTTCATGCGTTTTTTCTGATCGGATAGCTATCCTATAGTGAAAAGACCAGGTGTAAATGCCCTCTGAAACTCATTTGAGATGGATATAAATCCGATCGCTCAACCCACTTCAGGAGGTGGTCTGGGCCGCATTCCAGACGAAACTGGGCAAGTGTAAATGCATCTGGTTGTTGAAACCACATATGCAAATTTTACTCCTCCCAAAACATTAAATTCATAAGCGTGTGAGAGCGTGTGTTATAGGCTATATGAAATTATAGTCAGATAT